AGCACCGCAGTTCGGTGTTCTCACAACTTTTAAGAGAAACGTCAAGGCCTTGCATCTTTTGTCTGGCGTTCTCCACTCATCAAGGGTCACGATCACTCGTGTTTGTGAAATACTCTGCGCGCGTTACGAGTTGCACCGCCCTTTTCATCATCATCAATAGAAGCAACAACTTTGAGAATAGCAATAATACTCATACTCTTAGTTCTTTCGGTAAAGTCACGTAGGTAAAGTTTATAAAAAATATTGTTTTATTTTTATTAATTTTACCTACGTGACTTTACCGAAAGAACTAAGAGTATGAAGCCTTGCAGTCACGAAAGCTTCAAATCTAGAAGCAATAATACAGTTTTTTGTCGGGGGGTTAGATCACGTAAATATATAAATGTGTCGTTAAACCCGTCACCACCCGACGCAGCCAATTAGTAGGTTCGTCACGTAAACAGAACGTGCCAATTCGTTACGAGTACAGCACACTGGTGTGTTGGAGAGCAAAGCCACAACATTTACAATCTGAGAACGTAGCGTGCCATGCGCGAGACGCTTCAGCGCGAGGTTGATTCGCCCTCCGCCGGATTCCTTTCTCCGTCGTTGCTGGCACCTCGCCATCCACTCTTGCCCTGTCCTCTCTCCCTCGATCGCCTCGTTTCTACTCTTGTGCCCCCCACCCATGTACCCCCCATGCTTAGAGATGTATATCTCTCTCGATGTGTCTTGACCAGGGCTGGAGATGAAGGTAGAGTTTGCCTTACATGTGCTTTAAGGTGCCGCGGTGGTGAGATGTTAACTCCCTCGCCTGGTATACAGGAGGTTGTGGGTTCAATCCTGAACCTGACGCCTGCCCAATGTTTGGAGTTTGCATGTTCTCAACGTGATCGCGTGGATTCTTCTCCGGGTCTGCCAGTTTATCCCTCCACATTTAGAATTAACATGCATTTTCATTATTCGGCTGCTGTACATTTCCCCATGTTAAGCCACTTTGTTGAGCTATCGTTTGTGGCCAGGCCTCTTCTGAAAAGAGCTACATAGCTCAGTGGGCCAGACCTGGTAAAATAAAAAAGTATAGTTCAGTAAGGCTGTCGCGTTTTTATGCATTTTCCCTATATCTGTTGTGTTGCTTAAATTTGCTTAGATTTAAATAGCAAACACTTGCGTTATAAAGTAGTGAACCTGATAGGTAGCACCTGCCTGTAATGCATTTAAACAGGACTCAAGCATCACGCCGAGATAGAAGCAGTGGTGACATTTGAATGGGGCCTGTACCCCGCTTCACTAAATGAGAGGTAATCATCCAGCAGTGGATTGACAAACGGATGTAAATTATTATATCCCTCATATTCATCCAAGAGTCATGCATCTTTAGCCTAAGGGCAATACACTTACAACATATCCCACTTGTTTAGAATCACACGAGTTTTATATTTATTTTTGCAAAAGCAACAATTAAGGAAATGTAAACATTGCCACAGGCAAAACATTTTTTAACGAGACCTTTGGAACAGTGAGTGACCTTGATTGCAATTCAGAAGGCACCCTTTAAATTTTGAATTTTTGATTACGTGAAACCTGGCCACATTTCATGATTCACAGATGGCCACATTAAGGGGTGGTTAACCCATAAGCGGTCAAAACAACACCCCGGTCTATCTCTTGCATACCACTTCACCACGTTTCTGGAATGTTAAGCCACTTTGTTGAGCTTTCCCTTCATTTCAAGATTTAATTACCTCGCCTGGAATACAGGAGTCCATCGGGTTCGATCCCAACGCCCGATGTATATTTGGAGTTTTCATGTTCTCCCCATGGTTCAGTGGATTTTTCTCCAGGTCCTCTGGTTTTTCCCTCTACATTTAGATTCAACATACATTTGGAGCATTCGGCTGCGATACATTTCCATATGGTAAGCCACTTTGTTTGAGCTATCATTTGTGGCCAGGTCGTTTCTGAAAAATAGCTACATAGCTCAGTGGGGCCTTACCTGGGAATAAAAAAACTAGTTTTATAATTTCCGTTTATTTTTGTCCCTCAATTTAGTTTCTTTTTTTTTTCAAACCAACACACAGAGCCCTACTGCCACCTTTACCTAACCTTTTCTGGCAACCTCTCGCTCTCATATTATATTTGAACCATTGTTTTTATTCGCGTGCATTTCCTTCGCAACCGTCAAATACATCGTTTGTTGGCTGTGCAATGTCCCTTAAGGACTCCACCACTCATTCTCTGCAATGTTGGTGTGACGTATTTGTTTTGTTGCTGCTGCTGTGCTCACGCAGCCATGGATATCCCTCGTAAAATAGCCGGGCAAGCTTGCTAAACAGAAGCGACATCCGCATGACAAATCAAATAAACTCAACAGTCAAACGAGGCAACGTTAAAGGGCCTCCCTACTTTAACACTATTTTATATAGTCCCGAGTCTGTGGTGAATATTCCACGTTGAGGGCACGTTGAGGGCAAGCTTCACGACAGTACAACCACGATTGTGATGTCTCAAAAGTGGTACGTGTTTTTTATCGACCTGCCAGAAGGGTGATGAGACCAATCGCATCCCTGACTGGGATTGGAACTCGCTGTACAAGTGGTATACACAGGTGGTTTTAATAAACATGCAACAACAAAATACGAAATCAACTGGGTGGCGTAACCTGCCATCGTATATATCCTACAAATCATTTTAAGCTGCGTAGTGATCTGAGAGTATGTGTCACCTAAGCCTCGAATCTTCGGACCGCAGCTGTTATCATGCGAAAGCGTGGGCGAACGAACAGCATAGAGTTAAGGCAGTGTTCAGTTAAAATTAACGGGCCTTGAAAACACGGCAACCTTTTGAGAGCTGGCGAGAGAGATAGAGGCATGGGAAGAGACTGAGAGAGCATATGGCCATATTGACGAAGGAAGGCCCCCTGTGTGCTGTTTTTAGAAGAGGTTGTTTAAGAAATTAATGTAAGTGGATGAGAGTGGATACCAGGAATTTTCATGAGAGCACAGGGTAAGCGACTTGGAGCAGAATACGATTAATGTTGGAAGAATCCAGAGATTAGGGTTAGTGTTCGGAGACGGGGACCCGAGGAAGGGGCAATGCCCATTGCTCCCATTGGTCAGAGTGCTGGGCTTTAGCAAGAAATCAGGAAAGAGGATTCTGGCATTTGAAGTGAGGACATTCGGACATCAATCGCAGGAATAGCTAAGCAACTTCAACATTGTGAACAGAGCAAAGGCAGGCAGAATGCATTGTAGACATAATAAGAGGTTGCCGTAGGTTGGGCACGTGTGTAGCATGGAGGTTGGTGGGTGACTGAGATAAGCATTTAAGTGACACCGAGATGGGGTTGTTGATGAGCCATTAGGGTCTAATTTCTGACCAAAGTGTTGAGACAATTGTCAGCCTGGAAAGGATAGACCAATCTTTTTAATCTTTTTAATGCCATTCTATTAGCAAAAAAAGAGGACATTGTACGGACATCGCAGACAAATGTAGCGGTTTAATGGCCCATACATCTCCTTCTGTAGAGAGTGCACCAACAGGCTTGGTATATTCTAAATCAATCAATCAGTCGATGAAATTCCATTAATTTAACCACAGCAGAGCTCATTGAGATGAAATGTGCTGAGCGTGGTGATGCACGCCTGCAATTGTGTTTCGCAGAGCAGGTTGGTGGATTACACAGAGATTACTGAGACTCTCAACTGCTCAGGGCTATGAGGTAGCCCGAGGGATGTGAGTGACATCTCCTCCCACATGGGGGGTTGCCTCTGGCCACTCTGGCTTCCTCGCACATACAAATCAAGCCGGAGACTTGAAACTCAATTAACCTTTGCCGGATGACTAATGTTAATGAGTGCGTGGTTAATGATGCCGTGGTGGCGAGATGTTAACTACCTCGCTGGTATGCAGGAAGTCGTGGGTTCGATCCCGACCCTGAAGCCTGTCTATTTGTAATTTTGTATGTCTCTCCTCATGGTCACGTGGACTTTTCCCCGGGTCCTCCGGTGTTTCCCTCCACATTTAGAATCAACACGCGTTTGGTGTATTTGGCTGCAGTACATTTCCACATGATGATAAGCCACTTTCGTTGAGCTATAATTTGTGGCCAGGTCGTGTATGAACAAAGAGCTACATAGCTCAGTGGGCTTTACCTCGTAGAAAAAAAAATACATTGGGATCGCCCAGGACCAGTTCAGATATCATTTGCCACTGATGTTAAGCCATGGCCGGGAATTGAACACAATGGAACACGATCATAAGGCAGTGAACTGACATTATTATTTCCAGAATGTCGCAGCTTACATGGAGACAGAATATCTAACAGAGATGTTTATCATGTCCGGACAAATCCTTCCATGATGCAAGCATTTTCCCCTTGATGCTTTTATGAACACACACAATAAACAATAACCATCCACAGAGCTATCAGAGCTGTACAGGGTAAGTCATTTATACTCCACCCTGCATGATTTAATACTGAGCATGATTAGCTATAGTCTAACACTAAAGGAATTCATGCAAAGATAACCAAAATAGGCAAAGCTCGATATTCAAGCGAGCATTGCGTTGAACCAAGTAGTGACTTTGCCAAATTCCTATGGCAAGAGCAATTCATACACAGGACAACCACTGTTGATGTTTCCCAAAGTGGTAACTCATTTTATTCACCCCAGTGAGATGATGGATTAGTCAACCACATCGTCATGATTTCAATTAGCAACCTTCTGATTGTGAGGAGCCCATTTTAAATTAACACACGTCCAGAAATCATATTATGATACTGAGCAATTTCCACATGTGGGATTATTTTTCACGACGAATGAAAACCAACGCATGTATTACACTATCAAACGTCACCCTCCCATCAGCGAATGTGTGTAACGGCTACCGCACACTTGCAGCCACTTGACATGGTTACCGCCATCCAGAAACGAACAAACATTCACCAAGTTCATAAGGGGGAGCGTTGCCCAAAGCTGTCCCGTTGACTGGAATATTGACTCCTTAAACGGACGAACCTTTACACTGTGGCTTTTGGTCGCTCCAGGCTGCAAACACATCCGCCACCCGCTGACAGACGATGCTCTTCGATCCAAGCAGAACGAATCCCTCGTCGCAGGTGAACTGGATGGTGGCTCCAAGTCTGTATGGGGATCGCCACCAAATTCGGTTGTGCGTTCAGACAAAGACAAGGGTCCACCGTATAGCCTCAACAGACTTTTGGGGCAAGGGCTGTTAGCGAGCACCTCGTCCAGCACACAAGAGGCTGGGTGGAAAGCACCAGACTCGGCCGCCTTTGTATCCCTGGTGGTGATGATTACACACCATACCAGGTACTCATTTAAGGCTGAGTCGACCTAGGGGAGGCCCAGGACTGGTTCAGATAATGTCCACTGGTTTTCGCCATGAGCAGGAATCGAACTCGGCAGCCAGGTTTGTAGTGCAGCACGCGAACCAGCGCATTCAAACACAGACAAACACATGCATGGCTGCACACAGACAAAGGCATATATATATACTGGGGCAAATGCTGTTCGTGAGCAACTATCAAAGCCGGCACGTCGTACGAAGGAGGACGTAGGTGGCCAAATCAGCATTAAAGTTGAATTTATCAAAGTTGGAATGATCCAAAATTGATTTTCGATTTAAAGCTTTCGTGACTGCAGGGATTCATCTTCTTGTTTCTTTCGGTAAAGTCACGTAGAAGGGAAGTAATAAAATAATAAAAATAAAACATAATAAAATAATAAAACAATTCTCACGACGTTTCGGCTACAACGCAAGCAGCCGTCTTCAGGTGAAGAATGAGACACTACCAAACTAGGAGCTTATATATAAGCTGCATTGGGGGTTGAAGAGCGCCTTAACAAAAAGAATGTGCATGTGAAGAGGGATTTAGCATATTCATGGAAAATGCGTAGGCGTTGGGCGGGGGGGTGTCAAAGTCATATTATGCCCATGCATTATGCAGGATCAGCAGCAACCAAGGGGGGTGCAGGGATTAGCAGTAACAAAGGAAAGGAATGTTAATGATATGTAGCTGCAGTTACTCAACAACCACGTAGAAAACTAAAGTATAAACTACATAAAAAACTAAAGTATAAACTGCATCGCACCATCAGTATACTTACTATACTCTATAATAAGCTGAGTTACTAACAGCAAGTAATACATTACAATTTTACCTCGTAAAAATTCTATAATATGCTTCCATCTAAACCTTATTCTCTTACATCACACGAGCATATACCGTACTATATACTGCCATAGATAAACCCAACATTAAATTATATACTGTATTGCTGTAAACCAACCTATATCTTATACATTTAATATCACACTATGTATTATTCTACACACCCTAATGTGTATCGAAATGGTTTATTACGTCCTTCCAATGATTGCTGAGCCAGAATCCATCTTCTCGGTTAAAGTTGTCTCTGTGTTTGTATATGTGGATCGCCTCATGAACGAATCTCTCATGATAGCCAGATGGCTTGCAGAGAACCTCTGTCTTGGAGAAGTCAATATCATGTGAGCCCACTGAGTTGTAACAGTGATCTGCCACGGCTGAGGTGTTAGTCCTACCGTGTTTCAGGTCAGCTTTATGTTCACGGATGCGGTCCGAGACATGTCGTTTGGTTTCCCCAATGTAACTGCTACCACAGAGGCAACTTAGTTTGTAGACGCCAGGGTACTGTATGTCTGGAACCACATCTTTTACAGACGGTACCAGATCACGGATTTTATGTACTGTGTTGAATCGGACCTGGATCTTGTGTTTAATCAGGATTTTGGAGATCTTTTTTGTGACCCCAGCAATGTAGGGTAAGGTGATGGTCTTGAAAGGCTCCTCAACAGGATCCTTCTTGATGGTTGGAGTGATGGCTTTGCGGATTGTATAGTCGGAGTAACCATTTGCCTTAAGAGCTTGGCGTACGTGTTTGAGTTCACTGGAAATGTGTTCATGGTCGGAGATGCATTGGGCTCTATGATATAGAGTCTTGATGAGGGAATTCTTCTGAGATGGATGGTGGTGGGAATCCGGTTTTAGATCAGCATCCGTGTGGGTGGCTTTCCTGTAGACAGAGTGGCTCATTGAACCATCAAGTCTCCTTTTGATTAGGACATCCAAAAAGGGTAGCTTGCCATCATTTTCGACTTCCATGGTGAATCTGATGGCTGGGTGTATGGAATTGATGTGGTCGAGAAATTGGTCTAGAGCAGGCCGGCCATGTGGCCAGATGACAAAAGTGTCGTCTACGTACCTCTTCCATAAGGTCGGGCGTAGAGTGGCAGTCTGGATGGCGTCCGTCTCAAATTTCTCCATGAAGATGTTGGCTACAACCGGAGATAGGGGGGAGCCCATTGGGGTGCCCTCAATTTGCTTGTAGAAGGTTCCATTCCAGGTGAAGTATGTATTGGTTAAGCAGTGTCTCACCAGGGGGGGTACCCCAGCATTCAGTCCTTGATGAACCAAGTCTTCAATGATTGCGATGGTGTCAGGCACAGGTACCTTGGTGAACAAGGAAACCACATCAAAACTGACAAGCAGGTCGTCTGGGGACAGGGCAATCCCCTTGATTGTCGATACCAGGTCAGTAGAGTTTAGTACTGCAGAGGTGGTTTTTCCAGTGAAAGGCCGTAGGATTTCGGACAAAAAACGAGCCAGTTTGTAAGTGGGGGAGTTGATAGTAGAGACAATGGGACGAAGAGGTGTATCTTCTTTATGTATCTTTGGCAAGCCGTACAATCTTGGTGGTCTGGCTGCAGAAGGTTTCAACGAGAACTGTTTGGTCTGATCAATTAATGCGGTTGAAGCAGAAATGATGTTGTTGGTTTTGGAGACGAGGCTGTTGGTGGGGTCTCTTTTTATTTTTGTATAGCTGCCATCGTTTAGTAGTTCTTGAATTTTGTTGTTGTATTCTATTTTGTCCATGATGACAGTGGCATTGCCTTTGTCGGCTGAGAGGATGACAATGTCATCCCTCTTTTTTAATTGAGCTAATTCAAAACGCTCCTCTTTGCTGATGTTGCTAGCTGGCATCTTAGCGTTTTTGAGGGTTACAGAGATTTCGGATCTTGCTACGTCTGCAGCGATGTGACTCAAGCCCTTGAGAGCTACATCTACTCGAGCAATTATATCATTAACTGGTATGTGTCTAGGTGTGACTGCAAAGTTTAGTCCTTTAGCTAAAACGGATTTCAAACCTTCAGAAATAGGACTGTTACTGCGATTAATTACGACTTTGTTAATATCTAGCTTTTCAATGTGTGGGTCCGGTTTCTTGTTTGAGAGGCGATTGAATTTGGAAATCAAGTTGTCCTTACATTTAGTCGACATAGCGGCAGCTGAAGAGGCAGTCATTTTTTCCACATGTTCCCAATCCGATGTGGACATTGTTACACTCAAAGATAAGTGTGATTTGTAGAGTGTCTTGTCTAACTGATCTAGTTCGGTGCGCGTAAGTCTGATTTTCTCTGAGATAAGAGCTAAGCTAGTTCTAGACAGAATTCGTTTCGCATTAGAAGAAGTTACAGCAGCAGATGTTAGTGTAAATGCGTTTGGTATTACCTTAGAGTCGCGGCATCTCTTCAGAAAGGTGAGAGACTCGATTAGCTGAGCCTTCTTATCCCGGAGCTTGTTGAAGGATCTCAAAGTTATGTGGAAACCCTCCCCGTAGAGGCGGTTAAATTTCGATTTAAAGCTTTCGTGACTGCAGGGATTCATCTTCTTGTTTCTTTCGGTAAAGTCACGTAGAAGGGAAGTAATAAAATAATAAAAATAAAACATAATAAAACAATTCTCACGACGTTTCGGCTACAACGCAAGCAGCCGTCTTCAGGTGAAGAATGAGACACTACCAAACTAGGAGCTTATATATAAGCTGCATTGGGGGTTGAAGAGCGCCTTAACAAAAAGAATGTGCATGTGAAGAGGGATTTAGCATATTCATGGAAAATGCGTAGGCGTTGGGCGGGGGGGTGTCAAAGTCATATTATGCCCATGCATTATGCAGGATCAGCAGCAACCAAGGGGGGTGCAGGGATTAGCAGTAACACTCAAAGATAAGTGTGATTTGTTACTGCTAATCCCTGCACCCCCCTTGGTTGCTGCTGATCCTGCATAATGCATGGGCATAATATGACTTTGACACCCCCCCGCCCAACGCCTACGCATTTTCCATGAATATGCTAAATCCCTCTTCACATGCACATTCTTTTTGTTAAGGCGCTCTTCAACCCCCAATGCAGCTTATATATAAGCTCCTAGTTTGGTAGTGTCTCATTCTTCACCTGAAGACGGCTGCTTGCGTTGTAGCCGAAACGTCGTGAGAATTGTTTTATTATGTTTTATTTTTATTATTTTATTACTTCCCTTCTACGTGACTTTACCGAAAGAAACAAGAAGATGAATCCCTGCAGTCACGAAAGCTTTAAATCGAAATTTAACCGCCTCTACGGGGAGGGTTTCCACATAACTTTGAGATCCTTCAACAAGCTCCGGGATAAGAAGGCTCAGCTAATCGAGTCTCTCACCTTTCTGAAGAGATGCCGCGACTCTAAGGTAATACCAAACGCATTTACACTAACATCTGCTGCTGTAACTTCTTCTAATGCGAAACGAATTCTGTCTAGAACTAGCTTAGCTCTTATCTCAGAGAAAATCAGACTTACGCGCACCGAACTAGATCAGTTAGACAAGACACTCTACAAATCACACTTATCTTTGAGTGTAACAATGTCCACATCGGATTGGGAACATGTGGAAAAAATGACTGCCTCTTCAGCTGCCGCTATGTCGACTAAATGTAAGGACAACTTGATTTCCAAATTCAATCGCCTCTCAAACAAGAAACCGGACCCACACATTGAAAAGCTAGATATTAACAAAGTCGTAATTAATCGCAGTAACAGTCCTATTTCTGAAGGTTTGAAATCCGTTTTAGCTAAAGGACTAAACTTTGCAGTCACACCTAGACACATACCAGTTAATGATATAATTGCTCGAGTAGATGTAGCTCTCAAGGGCTTGAGTCACATCGCTGCAGACGTAGCAAGATCCGAAATCTCTGTAACCCTCAAAAACGCTAAGATGCCAGCTAGCAACATCAGCAAAGCGGAGCGTTTTGAATTAGCTCAATTAAAAAGGAGGGATGACATTGTCATCCTCTCAGCCGACAAAGGCAATGCCACTGTCATCATGGACAAAATAGAATACAACAACAAAATTCAAGAACTACTAAACGATGGCAGCTATACAAAAATAAAAAGAGACCCCACCAACAGCCTCGTCTCCAAAACCAACAACATCATTTCTGCTTCAACCGCATTAATTGATCAGACCAAACAGTTCTCGTTGAAACCTTCTGCAGCCAGACCACCAAGATTGTACGGCTTGCCAAAGATACATAAAGAAGATACACCTCTTCGTCCCATTGTCTCTACTATCAACTCCCCCACTTACAAACTGGCTCGTTTTTTGTCTGAAATCCTACGGCCTTTCACTGGAAAAACCACCTCTGCAGTACTAAACTCTACTGACCTGGTATCGACAATCAAGGGGATTGCCCTGTCCCCAGACGACCTGCTTGTCAGTTTTGATGTGGTTTCCTTGTTCACCAAGGTACCTGTGCCTGACACCATCGCAATCATTGAAGACTTGGTTCATCAAGGACTGAATGCTGGGGTACCCCCCCTGGTGAGACACTGCTTAACCAATACATACTTCACCTGGAATGGAACCTTCTACAAGCAAATTGAGGGCACCCCAATGGGCTCCCCCCTATCTCCGGTTGTAGCCAACATCTTCATGGAGAAATTTGAGACGGACGCCATCCAGACTGCCACTCTACGCCCGACCTTATGGAAGAGGTACGTAGACGACACTTTTGTCATCTGGCCACATGGCCGGCCTGCTCTAGACCAATTTCTCGACCACATCAATTCCATACACCCAGCCATCAGATTCACCATGGAAGTCGAAAATGATGGCAAGCTACCCTTTTTGGATGTCCTAATCAAAAGGAGACCTGATGGTTCAATGAGCCACTCTGTCCACAGGAAAGCCACCCACACGGATGCTTATCTAAAACCGGATTCCCACCACCATCCATCTCAGAAGAATTCCCTCATCAAGACTCTATATCATAGAGCCCAATGCATCTCCGACCATGAACACATTTCCAGTGAACTCAAACACGTACGCCAAGCTCTTAAGGCAAATGGTTACTCCGACTATACAATCCGCAAAGCCATCACTCTAACCATCAAGAAGGATCCTGTTGAGGAGCCTTTCAAGACCATCACCTTACCCTACATTGCTGGGGTCACAAAAAAGATCTCCAAAATCCTGATTAAACACAAGATCCAGGTCCGATTCAACACAGTACATAAAATCCGTGATCTGGTACCGTCTGTAAAAGATGTGGTTCCAGACATACAGTACCCTGGCGTCTACAAACTAAGTTGCCTCTGTGGTAGCAGTTACATTGGGGAAACCAAACGACATGTCTCGGACCGCATCCGTGAACATAAAGCTGACCTGAAACACGGTAGGACTAACACCTCAGCCGTGGCAGATCACTGTTACAACTCAGTGGGCTCACATGATATTGACTTCTCCAAGACAGAGGTTCTCTGCAAGCCATCTGGCTATCATGAGAGATTCGTTCATGAGGCGATCCACATATACAAACACAGAGACAACTTTAACCGAGAAGATGGATTCTGGCTCAGCAATCATTGGAAGGACGTAATAAACCATTTCGATACACATTAGGGTGTGTAGAATAATACATAGTGTGATATTAAATGTATAAGATATAGGTTGGTTTACAGCAATACAGTATATAATTTAATGTTGGGTTTATCTATGGCAGTATATAGTACGGTATATGCTCGTGTGATGTAAGAGAATAAGGTTTAGATGGAAGCATATTATAGAATTTTTACGAGGTAAAATTGTAATGTATTACTTGCTGTTAGTAACTCAGCTTATTATAGAGTATAGTAAGTATACTGATGGTGCGATGCAGTTTATACTTTAGTTTTTTATGTAGTTTATACTTTAGTTTTCTACGTGGTTGTTGAGTAACTGCAGCTACATATCATTAACATTCCTTTCCTTTGTTACTGCTAATCCCTGCACCCCCCTTGGTTGCTGCTGATCCTGCATAATGCATGGGCATAATATGACTTTGACACCCCCCCGCCCAACGCCTACGCATTTTCCATGAATATGCTAAATCCCTCTTCACATGCACATTCTTTTTGTTAAGGCGCTCTTCAACCCCCAATGCAGCTTATATATAAGCTCCTAGTTTGGTAGTGTCTCATTCTTCACCTGAAGACGGCTGCTTGCGTTGTAGCCGAAACGTCGTGAGAATTGTTTTATTATGTTTTATTTTTATTATTTTATTACTTCCCTTCTACGTGACTTTACCGAAAGAAACAAGAAGACCAAAATTGATTGTCAAACAAAATTTACGATGAGTTGTTTTTGATGAGTTGCTTTTTTGCACTCATTATTGACCGGCTTGAAAACTCCCGCTTAATCAAAAGCGGCCTGCTGGGAATCGAAAGCAGGACATCGCCGTTACAATCTCAGCCAATATTGGCAACCTGAAGCCACGCACACGTAGGCAATATGCGGTGAACGGATCCCAGCGTCGCGAGCCGAGCGTAACGTCATCACTCTCTGCCCACCCCCCCCCCCGTCACCGGAAATCGGAGCCGGTTCTCATGCCACGTTCCAGGTCTCCGGGGTCTCCGCATGAGTTTGACGCCTGTGTGAGTCCCCCTTCGCTGGCTGTGAGAGACAGAGAGAGAGGAGATCACAACGGCGTGAAACCCACAGCACATCGCCACTCCCTCCCCTCCACTAGATCCTGCAGCAGTTGCGCAGTCGACGGTGAACCTCCAGGTAAGTGGCAACAACAACAAAATCACGGCGATATGGAACCGTAAATGCTTCACGGAGACTCACACATTGTACAATCCACTGCTCTAGATTTAAAACGAATTTCTTTCGAACTGATTTGTATCGTTGTTAGTTTGTTGTCCTTCCCCCGCACCTCTGTTTAACAAGGTTGGCTACGTAGGGTGCGAAAGAATCTCAACATACGTACACTGCAGAATGAAGGCATCGCCACGCGAGTGGTTCTTTGACTACGCTGACTAGTGCGGCTTGGTGAAAGTGAGGAGCATTGGCGTTGCAGCACGGTAGGGTACAACAATAGATATTTCTGCACTGCAGATCTGATTAAATCTAGGTGATGTGCATTCTAGGTGATGTGTCATAGGACGATTTAATATTTAAACAATAGTCGATTAACATATGGATAAAATTTATATATATAAAATCGCAAATCTGTCTGTCTGTCTGTGTGTGTGTCTGTGTGTCGCCGGACCATACGCAGTTTCATTGGACGGCGGTTGCCCCTGGCAACGGGTAGCGATGCATTCGCCGCGGGGTGGACGCCATTTTTAATTCCCGTTTAAAATATGCGCATGCATTAACACGCGACTCTGAGGTAAATTCATCAAAGTTTCACGCCCTCTTCACTCCCCCCCCCACCACAATGTGTGCAATTACTATTATAGGGTCGGTAGATTATAAAATTATAGCGATTAGACAGTATTATTGTAGCGCGGGGGGGGGGGGGGGAACGGCACCCGTACCCAGCCTCAGCCGGGTGGGCAATTTAGGCGAGGCCGGAGGCTCTGCACGGTACTAGGCCTCGACACCCACCGCGCGACTCTGAGGTAAATTCATCAAAGTTTCACGTCCTCTTCACTCCCCCCCCCACCACAATGTGTGCAATTACTATTATAGGGTCGGTAGATTATAAAATTATAGCGATTAGACAGTATTATTGTAGCGCGGGGGGGGGGGGGGGGAACGGCACCCGTACCCAGCCTCAGCCGGGTGGGCAATTTAGGCGAGGCCGGAGGCTCTGCACGGTACTAGGCCTCGACACCCACCACACGACTCTGAGGTAAATTCATCAAAGTTTCACGTCCTCTTCACTCCCCCGCCACCCCAATGTGTGCAATTACTATTATAGGGTCGGTAGATAATAAAATTATAGCGATTACACAGTATTATTGTAGCGCGGGGGGGGGGGGGTAACGGCCCCGGTACCCAGCCTCAGCTGGGTGGGCAATTTAGGCGAGGCCGGAGGCTCTGCACGGTACTAGGCCTCGACACCCACCACGCGACTCTGAGGTAAATTCATCAAAGTTTCACGTCCTCTTCACTCCCCCGCCACCCCAATGTGTGCAATTACTATTATAGGGTCGGTAGATAATTAAATTATAGCGATTAGACAGTATTATTGTAGCGCGGGGGGGGGGGGGGGGTAACGGCCCCGGTACCCAGCCTCAGCCGGGTGGGCAATTTAGGCGAGGCCGGAGGCTCTGCACGGTACTAGGCCTCGACACCCCACCACACTATAGGCCGTACATATTACTGCACAGCGGCCAAGGAGATCGTGGCTGGGGGGGGGGGGCAGGGGTAGCAGCCCATCTGTGTATATATGTAAGGTTATTAAGAAATATATTTTTCACCCGGGCAACGCCGGGTACTTATGCTAGTACAACTATAATATCATTCCGGACCTCTGGAACACCTTAAAATAAGCATTGATCTCCTCTCGTCATAGAAGCTTCAGATCCCGGTAAAAATGGGGATCAATGTGTGGTAACTCAAAAGGGGTCAATTGATGGAGAGTCTGACCTCTACCAAAGGAATGTGATATTTCCACTATGACCAAGGAGATTCGAATCAGACTCTTCATTTCGACTAGAGGAGGAATCCGATGAGCTATGAAGCTCTTTTTGTCACAGATGTCCCAATATGGGCACGGGGTCAGCAAAGTTACAATAGCAAACAACACAAAAAACACAATATGAGTGCAAAATAGATAAATAAGTCATTTAAAAAAATATTCTATAAGTCCTATTTATCAAGCTTGGACAAGGCAGCAAAAACAAGATAAAAACAGTGCCAGACCACACCAGGATAACACCACACAGCAAGTAACCCCTCATTAAAATGGCACATTAACATGTCACTATCGATACACAGGGGGTGAGGATCAAAGTAAAGTGTTGCCACAGTGCGCATGTGAACAGGGAGACAGCATGACTTGAGAGCTAAAGATGCCGCGCGCAGTAGGCGATGATTTATCAAATTTACCTCATTAAAAAAAAAATTTCTTCAGTTCACGACAACGTGCATCGAGGCGTAAACATCAGGCTTTGCATTTATCGGGCGCTTAACAAGGAAACTTTGTGTTGCCATCGCTGTGAAGTGTTTAGAATACAAACGTACGAATTGAGAACTTTTGTCCACCATCCTTGCCAGGATAAAGCTTCACACCACTGAACTTCAGGTCTTTTGCCTTTTTCACTGAAAGAGAGAAAAAACGGAACAGAGCGATCATTACGTACAAAGGAGAACTTCAATATCGCATACTTTAACGACAAAAATTGTTATCTTTCTCCATCACATCATCTTGATTGTGCTCTCAGCATTATGTCATGAGAAAAAGTGTCCATCATATCTATCGCAGTGTAACCCTTTATGCTGTACGTCCCCCCAACCTCCAATTAGCACAGTTGGTTATGTACGGTACGAACAAAGTTCAACATACATACAAGGAAGCAAATATCAGAGTTACCTTTGACACTTTTCCACCTCGAGCAATGTTCGATACATGAGAATCAATACTTTTGTTTAATTCTCAGAGCCGGAATTTAGCCAAGATAAGTGCAGAAACAAATTGAACGCGATTATTTTTTCATGCTGTCATTGCTAACTGGGGTCAGACCATTATCAAGTCACTACACTTGAAAACCGCGTCAAATCACACATACTCGAACCATGGGTCTCAGCGGAACTAGAAGTTGTAACCTCCCTAAATATTTGCCAATCACGGCACACCACTCATGCCCTGCTCAGCAAAGTATAATAGATCAGGTAGAGTGAAAATGCAAAATAGGTTATTTTTCTTCTCCTAATCATTTTTTTTACACAAATAAATGAATGCTCGAATTCTAACGGAAAAACTGTGCCAAGAGTTTATCGTATTTAGGCAATAACGCAACGGTTATTTGACTGGGGAAGAAAAGCAGATTGCACACTCATTACCAGTTTGCCACGACCAGGCCCACTCTTCTGCACAGCCAGTGAGAGGTTGTATCACAAAGGCCCAGTGCACGCCCACACACCGGTATTAAATGCAATTTCAAGACTCCTGATGAGACATTCTATTGTAATTACATTTCGGGGGAAAAAAAAAACTTTATAGTAAATGCCTCCCAAATGTGGTCGACTGAGACAAAGCAAATGTAAAAAAAAATGACAGCAGGTTTTTTAAATATATAAACTCACTTCCGTTCTCATTACTACTGCTGGCATATGTGTGCTTGCCCGAGGCAGGCCACAGCATAACTCAGTGCTCTCTTTCTCATTATCACGACCGAGTGGCTTAGTGGCATGGCGAGGTTGGATCGCAATCGAGAGGTTTTCGAGGTTCAAAACCCTGGGTCGCCGGTTTGACTCAGCCACATGGTCCCATCAGGGGTTAACAATATGAGTAGCACGCTGTGGGAAATTCAACAGCGGTTGTCCAGTAGAAAGGCTCACCCTGCCATAGGAATGTGGAACTTCCACCACTGGCTCTTGCAGGGCTGTGAACAGGAGATGGGTGCCAATGCCTCCAATGCTCATTTGAGCAGGAGATCACTCTGACTCGATTTATGAAAAGGGTGTTAGGATTACATTTTCCAGGAGGCACAAATTTACAGTGGAAAGTCTTGCAAACTCATGAGTGAATTAATATGCAGATGAATATATTGAAATAATTTGTCGTGTGGTATCTTGCACAATTTAGAAAAGCAAGATTTGCCATCCTTTGACGTTGTTGCATTTCCTGACATATTTTGTCCACCATCTGGTTTTACTGCTTCTAAGCCTCCCTCGGGAAAGTCTCTGCATCTGCAAGCTGCACCTCCGATTTGCATGGTTGGCAAAATACGGTGCGAAATAAGTTCAACGTACATACATACGTACAAGCCGACCCTCAAAAGGTGGTTCAAGTGGCCTGAAAACACCAATTGATTTCATTCACGACACGGATGATCCCGTTTAGCCAGAATCCTGTCTTTTTTTTACACGGGAGATCCGTGGTGTGCGTGAGCAGCAGCAGCAGGAGCAACAAAAACAGAAGACAAAAACCATCAACATTGCAGATTATTAGTAGAAGGTCCTTTAAGAAAATGTTGCACAACAAGCGAGGTATTCAATGGTCGTAAACGAATGACACGTACAATAGGAAAAAAGGCTAAAACATAATATGAGAGCAAGGGGTGTCCGAGAACGTTCGGTACATGTCCAAGTAATCTCCGTGATTTGTTTTTAATAGGGAAAGAAAGAGTGGATGTGAATGGAGGGAACCAAGCTGCGAACGAAGGCGACCAACCAAACTGAAAGAACGAATTAGTGAGTGCACGAAAAATACCCACAAAAATTGAAATACATGTTTTAACTAAATTGTCCAAATTACCCACAGTAAGCGTTTAACCACTGGTGGGGTGGACAGAGGTGAACGGGACATGCGAAACTTGCACACACAACGCAATGTTCGGTCGCTCTCCGTTGGCGCGAGTTTTTCAATTGGGCATTTTTTGTTTTTTTTTGTTTTAACAAGCATAAAAACACAGGGAACACATAATCAGTGTCTTTCCCGAGAACAAGATGTCAACTGGTGCCCCCAACACACGAAGTTTTTGCTCAAATGGCTGAACAGGCCAAGGCAAAACTCTGCTCTGCCAACAAGGCCAATTAGAAATGTGTGCACACAAATATCAGAACAATAACAGCAAATGTAGGTAAGTGTTTAAAACAATCCTCCCTGTTTGCTTATTGAAAACAAAATATTTCACGTAGTCATCAGCAGTCACAACACTTTGGTATGTAAAAATGGAGAATGCATTCCAGTTATTATCTAAGTGTCTCTCAGCCCAAGTGACCCAGGCACAATGCTCACCTCATTTGGTAGCCAGCCCTGTTGTAAGACAACCACTGCTGAGTTTCTACAACATTGTCAGTACTTTATAGACCCCAGAGTCTCGACCAGGGGTCGTTAACCTGCGGCTCTGGAGCGGCATGCGGCTCATTAGGGATCGCTTCGTCACGTTTATTTATTAAGCAACCACCGTCTTCATATTCACACGCGTTGCTGCTCTTGAAATGTTCAGTATTAGATTTTTTTTACCGAATTCGAAATTTAAAAAAATGGCTCTTCTTCTTGTTTTGGTTGCTGACCCCTGGTCAAGAGGGATGATGGGTTGAATGTATTCCCTATAAAGAATTGTTATTTGTAAGCTTCTAATTGTGAGTCAACTGCTCTGGCACAACACTACCCAGCTTGTTATCCTCATCATCATCATCAACTCGAATCCACTGCTGCGTGCAGGCCCGTTGACTTTGTCTCCCACAACGTCCCCCGCAATGCCGCACAATCAGCTGATCTCATCTCCACATCTTTGCTGTTTTCGCCCTGCCAGACGGCAGTCTCGCCTGCATTGCAGTGCGGTGCACCGAGTAACGCTCCCAACGCTGTTCATACGAAAAAAAAACCAGCCCGCATAGTTTCGATTTAAAGCTTTCGTGACTGCAGGGATTCATCTTCTTAAAACAATTTTTTTATTATGTTTTATTTTTATTATTTTATTACTTCCCTTCTACGTGACTTTACCGAAAGAACCAAGAAGATCAGCCCGCATAGCTTAAAGGAACGAGTTATATTGGCGCACACGATGCGCATATTAAAGCTGACGCAGCGTATAGGATGGTAATGATTTATTATTATTCATCAGTACGCTATGTTTATGTCTACCCAGGAATGCCTCACCCCAAGTCTCAAGGACGCTATGTGGTGATATTCCTACGCGTAATCCCAATTGAGTAATTTTCAGGAAAGTTTTAAGCGTCGAATGACATTGCATAATTTTTTTTTGTAGCTATAGGAGGAAATCTGTGAACCCGGAGGAACCCCGTATAGAACAGGTGGAGAACATATAAGGGGCCGTCCATAAATGACGTCACACACCTAGTGGGGGGGTCAGACATTTGTGACGATGTGTGACGAGGGGGGGGGGTGAGAAATGTTACGTCACATCAAAATGCGCAACTTTAAATAAATATAGACAACACGTTCTACTTAATTAAATCTACTTTAAAATACATGTTTTCTCCTACAACATCAGAGTGCAGCGCCACATTAAATACGCACTAGAATGACAATAGTTTAAAGCGATTTGAAGCATTTTTTTTGGGGGGGGGTCAGAGCTTTGTGACGTCATATTTAAGGGGGGGGGGGGTCCGACTTTTTGTGACGCCGTGTGACGAAGGGAGAGGGGGGTCAAGAATCGTCCAAAATCGCCTGACGTCATTTATGGACGGCCCCTAAGTGTCATGTAGAAAGGCGCCCGGGTTGGGAATCTAACCCAGGATATGTTGCTGTGAGGCACAATTGCTACCACAGCGCCACCATCCTGCCGCACAAGCCTTGGGTTCTACACCATGCCTGGCCACTTCTTCTCCCCATTGCTGATGTTCTCACACTGCCTCAGGTTCCTCATTAAGTTCCGATTACCACAACCCTAAACCGCATCCGCTCGAACCATGGCAGATGTTGGACACTTAATACACGGGTGCGGGGGAAAAAATCCAGTGTTAACGATTGTGGTGAGTCAGAACAGAATCGTGAAACGTATCGCGACTCAATGCCCAATTCACAAGTACGAAGGAGGAGGCGTCATCACAGAGACACACTCTGCTACTCCTGACGCAATTATTTGGCCCAACCACCTCAATGCAACATTATAACTGTTGCCCTATATCAAAAAGGTGCATTGAAAATGTTTGATACTCCTACTGATACTCCTGCTGTCATAGAGTGACTCATGCAGCCAGCTATGGCTGCAAAGTTTGGTCGTACATGTTGTTTATGTCGTTTATTGTAAAATTTCAATCACAGTTCCTATGATCACTGTTACATTGCTTTAATAGCTTTATTTTGGTGATTTCGAAAACGTTTTGGTTTAGCCATATTTGTTTGTAGTAGTACAGAGTTGGACTGATAACTTTAATCTAAATTGTCTTATGGTTGTTATTGTTCGACTTGCATCCCACTGGATTTTTTGCACACAGCATTGATATACGGTGCTTTTTCCGGAAGACTTTGCTGTTTTTTCCTGGATTTTTCTATTTGCGCGTTGTCACTTTAAGATGTTTCTTGTTCACGTTTTTGTTTGTTGCGGTTGCACCCGATTCAAGAGCCGAATGGCTCACAGGGCTATACCTAATAAATGAAACTGAAACTGAATATCAGCCGTACGAAG